TTCACGACTTATCATAATCAAATTGATGATCAAACAGAAATTAGAGTATTTGCTACGACATTCATATTAAAAGAGCAACAAGAGTGAGATACTCTTTTCTCACATGTTTGGAAGTTTTATATGATAATTCTATAAATGCTTCCACAAAGGTGTCTTCATTCTACTTCATGTACGGTGCTCAACCCATAATTCAATCAAGTTTGTTGAAGTATTCAAAAACAAAATCTGAATCAAAATATCTATGGTCAAAAATTTTGTGGAGCATATTTGCGCGCAACTGCATCAAGAGAAGAAAAAGTTATTGATTGTTCAAAATGTTACAAAAATAGATAACATGTGATCCTTGTAGAGAGTTTGTATTTGAGATAAAAATCATATTCAATTATCTACAACAAATGTGTTTCTTGTAAAAACATCAAACTTCAATATTAGATTTATTGATAATTTTATGATATTAAAACGTATTGATAAAGTGTCATAAAAGTTAGAACTTCCATGACATATAAAAATACTTCTTGAATTTTATATGTCAATATTGCAAAAATATATATCACAAACCAAAGCAATTCACAAACCTACTAATATTAGTTACTCTATCAATCTTGATAACTAATCACAAAAAATTTGAGGTGAAAAATAGACTCAAAAAATTGATTTGAGGCCATAAATATTTCAAAATAGAGTACTTGGTTCAATAAAAATGTCATTTATTAAACTAATCAACTTAAAAATCAGCTAAACATCTAGATGTTGTTCATTTGATAGTTAAAAATTTGAATGTATATGTATCAAGGATGTTACGTCTTAGATTTGTAACTATCTTTAGTAAGTTAGAATTGAAATGAAGTTTACTCAAGATGAAAGTTTAATCAATTTATAGTGCACTAGTCATAGTTGTTACATTAGCTATTCCGGTGCTTGGTAGGTAGAAAGTAAGTGTCTTAGTTGAAAGCGTCATATCAACGATCCGTGTGCTTGTTAAGTAAAGATTGAGTTTGTTAGTTGACAACACCACATCAACAATTTTTGTACTTGTTAGTATCATCTGCCATATCATAAATTCACTAGATTGCAATGTATGATAGAGATGAGATCTGATGTTCTTGTACTTGTTGATAAGATATATATAAAGAAAAGTAGAATCATTGTTGGTAATTTTCATCTTTAGTATTGTATTACATCTTCAAGCGAGCTTGTCTCTTGATCTCTAGTGATACATTTTGGTCCATGAGATCTTAAAGTACAGTTGTTTAAGTTATGATCATTGCATCCATAATAAAAAAACAAGTGTTTCATATGATGTCGTTCTTTTTTTTCTTCAGTTAGTTCACTAACTATTGAAATGTCAATTGACATGGATTCTAGAGTTGAAATGCTTAAGATGTATGGTGGGTTGAAGATGTGCAATTTGCTCAATATGATTTAAAGAACAATCATTGCTCTTTGCTATTTGAATAGTCAATTATCTCAATCAATTTTTTGATTAATAACTTTTGACAAGTTGTTGATTTGGGCAAATTCAGCAACAAAATTTTGACACTGTCGCAAAGTTTTCATTGAAACATAGTGATGATAACCGTATTGTTCCAATGAAGATCACATGCAAGTTGTTAAAACTTTGCATCATAAATCAAGATGGATGCAATTTTTTTGTAATGTTCAAATTTTTGTTGTTGCTATAAAGAATTTAGCAAAAGTCTTGGATAGACTTTTGCTAAATTCTTCCAAAAATTTATCAAGATTTGCTAAATATGAAAAACTATTCTCCTATAATGATGAAAACCAGGATAATGTAGTTGTAATGAACAATGATCCAGTGAGTACATCATGTGTGTTTTTTTTACGTTTATATGTGGTTGAAGACAGAAGACAAATCGAACTTGATTGACAAAACCTTGAAGTTTTGTAAATTCTATGTTAGACTTCTCTGGCAATTGACTTGAGGTTGTTTTGACACTTGTGGAATTAGATTTGCTACGGAAGTTGGAACATGAATTGGAGCACAAGCAATTGGTAGCTATTCTATGATGTTTTGCAGGTTGTCATATTTTTGTTGTAGTTGTTGCAGCATGACACTCATGTACTTGTGCATCTGGAAGTCAAAAGCGTCATTCATCTTGATAGTGCATTTTTGGCAAATTATTGCATACAATAATTCCTTCAAGACTCGGATGAGCTCTCAAAGCTCCAAAGCCGAATGTAGTGACATTTAAAGCCAAAAAAATAAGGCGTAGTTTTGATGATAGAAGAGTAAGTACAATTGATGTTGTCAAGAACAAGCAGACAATACTCCAAATCCCTCTATTTATATTACTAGGACACTGTTGTAAAACCTTTAAGTGAGAAAGTTAGCACCGAATCCAAGTTTAGATAAGTCTGCTTCCGTGTTGAAAAAAGTTGCTATCGCCTACTTGTTCAAAAAAATCCTCACCGCATGTGACATGCATTAATAAAAAATATTCCATTTAGAGAATTTTCAAAAACATTATGTAATTATGCAAGTTTTGCATAAGGAGCATAAATAAAGTTTACCAGATGACTATTATATATATATATATATACACATTATTTTATGTTGATTATGACTTAGTTCAAGTTTACTCTAATTTACATATGGTACCATGTTAGATTTTTAATTCAAAGATTTCTCAAATTCATAAAAGATTGTCAGTAATCAATCCAAGTTTCTATTTAACTGAACTCTAAATCCTTCATTAAAATTAGTTAGGTTGAGAAGACTAGAAGTACGCAAGAGAGCTCACAAAAGCTTTTGGTGACTTTTATAAAGATTTTACCATTAAAGCTTGAGGTACATATATGACAGAAATGCACAACATATTTACTCTGGGTGCATTTTTGTATTAATTATATGTGTATAAGTTACTACTTTTCTTGTGGCAATCTCTAGCATGCATTTTTTATTTGATATACTTTTAAAAATATTTAGTTGTAATTATATCCATGTATATTATATTTGATAATTTTTTTAATCAGTATGAAGCAAAAGTTTTAGAGAAATCATCAAATCATAGATGAAAAAATATCTATCATAAAGATAACAAATTTTGATACAATCTTTCAGGAAAAAACTATACTTGGTTTAAGATCATCACTTAATTATTGTGGATTTGGTGATCACATATCCATCACAACAAGAATATTTCAAGCGAGATTGAATATATATACATGACAAATAAAATAAATACTTTCAAAGCTTCAGAGTCAATGCACGAGTAGAATTGTTTTCTCGTTGTGTTTCTAGGATAGAGTTTTGCACTTACACTTTGAGCCGTTTGTGAATGTGGAAAAATGTCTAGTATTTTAGTTTCCATGTATTTTTAACTCTTGTTTAATATATATTATCATATGGTTGTGATCCATAAAAGATTGGTCATGCTTATCATAAATGATGGTTAATATATAATAATAAAGATAACATTGTTCTTTTTGTAACCGAACCTATATGTACCTCAGGTCACTACGTGATACAATAAATAATAGTACGCGATGCTGCGGGGACTGACCACATTGTACTCCTTTGGTTTAATCCCATCGCCACTCGATGGCCATCGTTTTTCCAACCGAGCTAAGGTTGCCTCTCATTCCTGCTGACTCCGACTCAGAACATTAGGGGTTTGGTCGGTGCTCTCTCGGGACGAAAGGAAGGAGCCGCCGGCAGATATTCCAGCAGGCGGCAGAGCCTCGAGCGCGGAGTGGAATGGCCCGCTCACCGACCATGGTAGAGTCGCCGGTAAAAGATGCCGGCAAGTACAAAGCGACGAGGATCGCGTTCATCTGGCATGGAAGACCAGACCGGCTGAGCCGTCCGATCCGGTCCGGTCCAGGTCGTGTCAGGGTCGTCGACGCCGTCACACGTCTCGGTCGTTTTCCGACTGCAGCACTGCACGCAGTCTGACTCGTCAGGAGCGCCGGTGGTGCCAACATTTGTGAGCGCCCGTCTGATCCATCAGCTTCACCATCTCTTGTTCCGAGGGCCGAGTGATATCCTTTGGAGTCAGACCGGCATTCTCGAGGGTCCGCTAATGGCCATGGAGGAGGATTTCGCCGAAAGCTGGTGGACCTGACAATCCGCGAGAAAGGAGGCTTATGTCCGAGAAGTGGCTCCCTCAAATCCGCAGCCAGTGAGCGGGAGGGACCTCTCATGGGATCGCCTGCTCATTCGTCCAGCATAAGTGGACTTGACCTGGTGGTCAGGGGAAAAGTTCCAGCCAGTTAGAGGAGGTACATCTCCGTGTGTCTAACTCTGTCCTTTGGGTTTTAGCTTGGCTCGTCCCCGTCCTGACCTATGCTCCATCATGACAGCAGGACTTCTGCGAGTCGCAGAGCCCATGTCCAGTCGAGAATCCGCAGTCTTTCTCGACCATTCCAAACCTCGGAACCAAACCAAGGTGGACCCGCGGATGTCCTCCTCGCCACTGCATGTGTTCTGCAGCATGGCTCTCCTACTCCCCCGATGGGATGCTCATATCCTCTTCGCACCACTCCTCGCTCTGCTCTTTTCTTCGTGGCTGTTTGAGCTTTGCAGCTGCTGCGCTAGTTTGGCCAGCGGCGATTGGGGTCGGCGGGGTCAGACAGACAGGCCGAGAAAGCGATCCCCAATTTTTGCGACTGCAGGCGATGTCGCTCCTGCAAAGTGCAAAATGCCGCTTCTGTCTGAGTCGAGCGCGAGGGAGGGGTACGACCTGAGGCTGCAGGACCTACATACTCTCAGTCCACCGGTCAGGATCGTCATGATCCTCGATACGCTCGTCTGTCAAAGTACCTTGAGTAACATTACGTTGTCCGTGTTTGGGGTGCATGCTCAGGTCCTGCCCTAGGCCCAGGGAGAATCTGAGACTCTAGATCCCTCGCGGCCTTTCTACGAATGCCGAATGCCGGGGGGATTGTGCGTCCTCCACAGTTGGAGTTGTTGGGGTCTGTTCGCTAGTGAGGTGGTGATGACCGGATGTTGATCAGTGAACAGATTCCGAAGGCGAAGGAAGAGTCCCAGGATCCCGGAGGTTCGTCTGCTAAGGAATGATCCATACTTCTCTCTTCCGGACGAGGCCTTTTCTCCCTCCGTATGGAATCCCTGGGGCTGCTGCGTCTGGTCATACTTTGTCAGTGTACGTATCGAGGGATTAGCGCCCACGATAATTTCCCACACCTTCACTGTCCTCACAAGGACCGCCGGGGACTATCTCCAAAATTGGATTCCTCCGACTTTGCCATACGTCGGTATGATATCTATCTACCCGATGTCCTTTGAACTGACCGCGCAGGTGCTACAAACGTATCGTCACACCGCAGTAACCGGGCTTCGGGCCGAGTGGAAGCTCTATCGCTGTAGTTTATTTAATATGTGCTAGCCAAGCCGGTGCTGCTTCTCGTCATTATAATACCCCTAAAATCTGATCCTCAGCCTTCATCGCTGAGCTCCTGCCAACTCTCTCGTGGTTGACTACAGGTGGACGTGAACTAGCCGATCGACTGGAAGGTAAGAATGCAAAAGGAGAATCGCCTGTTAAGCTGCTTCATGAACCCCCACCACAGTACAGTTCAGAGTGCATAAAGTGTCTGTGTAGACTGACGGGAGTCCCGAGAAGCCCCAATCTGATGCTAACATGCGCTCCTACGAGCTCGACGGATGCGCTACAGGTGAGGAGCGCACACAGTGTTAGCTGCTGCCGATGTTGGAGCTTGGTCCTATTATCACCACCACCACCACAAGCACCAGCAGCAGCAGCAGTGCGGGTAGTGTAGCAAGACGTCGGGTTTGGTTCGCGAGGAGCCGTGGCAATTTCAGCTCGAGTCGTCAGCGCATATCGCAATCAAGCGTTGGGAGTGTAGTCGAAACGAGCGCTGCTGGAGTACGGGTGCATGTCAACTGTGGACTGGAACGAAAAGATAGGTGTGGGGGCGATACCGTACCATGCCGTGGTGGGGTCCGGGCTGCTTCGAGTATTATGTTGGTCTCTCCATAGCAACTAAAGGGTGGGTACGCTAACCGGCTCGAAACAGGTTCGAGAGGCTCGCGGTGTTTGGATTGTGGATCTGACGGATAGCTCTGATGCACGTCGTCTTACGCTAATATCTTCCTCACATACAAAACCAGAACCTTTGTGCAAAAAAGCGATTGCTCGGACCCACGGACGTGGTGAGTAGAGAGAGAGAGGGAGCGAGAGAGAGAGAGAGAGGAGATGGAGAGAAGGGCCTGAAGAAGAGAGATGGGCGACAGAGTGAGAGACAGAGAGAGCGAAGTGTCCAGCCTTCCCTTTTCTCGCAGCATCCAAGAGGACCGATTCGCTCGAGAGATCCAGTGATGGATTATCCGGGTTCCCTGAATCTTACGTGTTCATGACTTCTGGTGCTCACAGGTGGAGCAGCTTTGTGGAGCCGAGGAGGAGGATCCGCGAGGAACATGCGAGCATGACGCGGCTGTGACGTGCGCTTTTGCAAAGAATAATAGCCTTCTGAACGAGCAATTTCGAAGTATCGGCGATCCAGCACACGGATCCTTCGAAAAATGTGAAAGAGCTGCAGCCGCGCAGATTTCTTCTTCTCGCGTTCCATGACAGCACCGCTGCCTTGCTCAAGCTCGAGGGAACCGACATGAGGACCTTGCAAATGCTCGACCCGGGGCTGGGGTGTTCAGGAATTACTCTCCGTGGCTCTAGCGGACGGTCCCAGCTGAAGAAGCCGGGAGTGGGCACATGAATGCCGACTCCGCTGCAGCACAATCGAGCTTCTCCTTCCGCTGTTGGTATTGTTCAACCTGGCGTGCACCTCGCTGCCGAATCCTCCTCCTCCTCCTCCTCCCAAAGTGACTCCAGCCCGACTCGAAGGCGCTTCAAACTCAGCGCAAGAGATCTTCACCGACCGGCAGTGACTGTCCGATTTATGAAAGATGTGTCCGGAGCTTTCTCAAGACGTATCTCAGGATCATCTCTCGCGAGTTTTCTACCCGGAGTCGTTCATTTATGACAAATTTGATCACCAGCATACGCTCTTGTTCAATCATGTACCTCATTGTGCTGGGCAATACAAACCACCCGACGCTCAGACGCTCGATGCCCAGGGCTTGGCAGCTGGAACGCATGCTCCGCTCAGCGCTGCCGATGTGGGGCAGCATGGGCGGCCATCCCAAGCGATTTCCATCGAAATGGTGGCTGGAGGCGGAGGAGGAGGTGGCGGTTCACACCAAGCGCAACAATCATACTCGGTAGGTGCTCTAGCGCCCGCCTCTGCTGCTCCCACCACCGAAGCATCGGCGGAGTACCCTCCCCTTCACATCAGCTGCAGCGACAATCAGCTGATGCCGGAGATAGACTGCTGCGGCTGGATGAAGGACGTGCTGGATGAATTTCTCCTCACCTCGCAGGACATACCGCGCTTGGCCCCGCTCGTTCCCGGGCACAGCTCGACGATCAACCTCCCGTCCGTGCTCTCCCCGCTGGGCCTGCCGTCGAAGCTCGAATTCTCCGCAAGCCTGCAGGCCTCCCCTCCTCCTGCCGGAAATGCTCCGCAGAAATCCTCCAGCATGAGTCCCAGGTCTGTGGAGGCGATGCAGACGGGGGAGCTCGCAGCTGCTGCTGCAGCAACAACGCCGAAAAGCCCTCCGAAGTCGAAAGTCTCATCGCCCACTCCCGGGCCCTTGAAAGTCCGCGCGTCCAAGCGTCTGCAGAGGGAAGACAGCACGAGAAAAGTGTCGAAATGGGCGCAAAAGGCCAACCTGGCGAATGTGGATCAGGTCGAGCACGTGATTCGGGAACGACAGCGCAGGGATGACATGAGTTACAAAATTGCAACCCTGGAACGCCTTCTACCGCAGGGGCCTAAGGTATCCTATATAAGCCATCCTGCCTGCTTACTTGTCTTCTGACGGGGCCGGATGGGACTCTCGTTCTGGTGGTGTATGCAGCTGACAGCTCTCGCACCGATACGGCTTCTCTTATGCCTCCGATTGGAGTGATGGAACTGCGCTCGGTGTTGGTTGCGTGTTTATCGTAGTTCTTGACTGCAGACCGGATAGTCAGTTTTAATCCCCTCCAGCTCGTGCGCTGGGATATGTTCCTACTGTGTGCGCTGCTGTGTTCCTAGTTTCCATGAGTCTCACGTTTGGAATTGTCCAAATCTGCGAGATTATTCAATTCGTGCCCCTAAGTTCGTGTTTTCGTTACGAAGCGTGACAGGGCTTCAATTGTGCACGACAGTGTTCAGTACGTGAAGTCGTTACAGCAAAGAGTGGAGGAACTGACCAAGAAATCTGCGGAGCTACAGATGATGAAGCGCTCCGCAAAATTCAGCGCTCCTGTCAAAGTCAGTGTGGAAGATAAGAGAGCGCGATCGCCCGAAGATTCACAGGCGCCATTCCGCCTTGTGAACTTCCATCTTCAGGTCGAAGGTGGCGATGAAGCTGTCACTGTCTCGAACTGCAGATGCAATCTTGATTTCCTGAGCCTTACCATGAAGGCTCTAGAGCAATTACAGCTGGATCTTTGTCGAAGCAGTATCACCAAGATGCCAGACGGAGCCTTCTTCTGCATCATTGCTTGCAAGGTCTGCTCGAAACTCAACCTCCCATGCTCATCTGAGACTAACTTGTAATTGCTTGCCTGAATGTCGGATTCATATCACGCAGTTCTCGTCATCGACTTCCGATTCTCCGCAAATATCGTGGAGAGAGAGAACTTGTGATATTAATGAATGAAGTGCTTGATTATCTACTCAGGTTCTCTCTCACGTGATCATGCACTGATTTTAGGGTTTTTCTCCACACTTGCTCAGAGTCTTAGCAAATTTTACTTAATTCAGACTTCGAGCACCGGCCGTAATTCTAGTGGCCAATCGAGGTAAATACTTCACCCAATGGTAGCGCCATATAGCATGTCGCATGCAGTTAGTAGATCCGAGGACTGAAGAGCCTCTACTGTCTCGAGGCCAGCACAGATGGTGGTCGGTCTGTCTCACATGTTTGTTCACTTGGTTGTCATGTTTATCACAGGCTCGAGTTGGAGGAGCAGCGGTACCCTCATCGGCTGCACTTGCGCTCAAACTCAAGGCAGCAGTGGAATTGTAAGAGTATGAAGCTGGCGTCGAAGTCGAGAAGCTACTCCAATATTCACTACACTAGGTATAAAAGAACCCTTCGAGCATGTGCATCTATCTGCGGGCATGCTTCAAAGGGCATCGGAGGTCTTCAACAGGGGACAGACTTTTGAAGTCATCTCGTTTCGCTTCTGAGTCCACGTTGTGTCGCTCAGACGTACTCCTTGCAGAAGTTGATGTGATTCTCATGACGAATACGTCGTTTATTTTCTAAACAGCCTCTCGATCATATGTACAGCTTTTCTTTCAATTTGGAGCTTTTTGTGTCGTCTGATTCCACATAGATTTCGACAACACCTCCTTTCTGTCTCATTCACAGGCATGTAAAGAACTAGTCCACCCGGTCAGTAGCACTCGCCTGGAATGCAGCTCTCAAGCTCTCATGCCCTATGCAGAAAAGTCGTCTTTGTTGTAGCGTGGTCACATTTTGACCAAATGACAGCTTAATTCTTCTCAGAAAGACTGGTAGCGACTATGGCAGTGCTCTTCCCAATCAAGCGTGCTTGGTAACTTGAGAGCTCCTGGTTGTCCTGAACTCTTGATGCCAATGTGTGGATGGACTTCCCGAGTCACACGAGAATGATTGAAAGTCACGTATCCTTCAGTCGCAGGAGTCGTCATCATGCGAGGGTCCAGGGCGAGGTTGAGCAGATTAGGAAGCGAGAACAACTCAAGTCTCTAAATAAGTGCGTCGATGCTCGCAGTCGACTGGATAGGAATAAGGGCCCTGAGTTAATGAGAATAGACTCGGTGCAAGAACACTCACTCTTTCGACAACTTCTACATCTTGGTAACGATTCTGAGTCCGCTTGTATCTTGAGAAGGGTCGTGACATAGGAATAAGATCACGTGTCGACATGTGCAAGTACTGTGTGCACCAAAACGAGGGTCAGCGCCAAAGCACAACTTTTCATGTGGAGGTGAACACGGGCTCATAACTGGGCGAAACTCGTGTTAGTTGTGGTGTACAGTAAATTGATTCCTGTACCCCATCCGTCCCAATTCCAATAGGAGTTACCTTCAATACAAGCAGAGCTGTCTATATAGCTCAAGAACATCGTACACCATGTTCTAATTCGGGACTGCTGTGGTGGCCCGACCGGGTTGAATGCAGTGCTATGAGGGTCCAGGTGTCGTAAACTGTGGCGAACTTCGAAAAACCAAATTACTCTGACAACCCAGTTTAACGAGACCGAACACTTTTGCATCCGAGGGTGTTATTGAACCTGCCCAAATCGAGCCACACGTACACGTGCCCCTTCCACTCGATCTGCCCTCCAACGACGCACTCAGTAACATGAAGACTGAGCACTGTGATTATAGCAGGACAACTGGACAACGATTACCAACTTCGGTCAGTCGATGAGACAAGTACATAAGAACATGATCGGACGAGACGGGAAAGCGCGAGATAATGAGGAGATGACTGAAGGTGGAATGATCCGAATTGACTTCTGGAATGATGTATGATCTGAATGTGCTGAGTTGCCCACCTCTCGTCAAGCGTGGCTTACGACTCAGGAATTCGAAGACGGTGTCCGGTTACCGTTTCGGTGCACAAAATATACTCCTGACATACACGTTCGGTCTTCCTTTCGCTCGAGCGTGCCGAAGACCATCAGTCTTCAGAACTACTCTTGCTGATGGTTGAAACCGCATGTACAATGGATGTCGCAAGGCTTGACCTGAAATGGAAGACATTCCAGTGATAGGTCCTTCTTGGGAGAATGTTTTTCTGATCGTCTCGGTCCTTCTATTATACTATATCGAGGTTATAGTCAAAATTTAATAATAAATATCTACAAACATCATGATCCATTTTCATGTTTGATGTGATAATAAGTAAATTTTGTTTTATACATATTACAATATAATTTTTTTTATTCATTCATGAATGGATTTTCTATGAACCATGATAAGACTCTTAATTTTTAAACCCCTCATGTGGACAAACCCGATGTTCCATAACCTCTTGTCTTGTTTCCTCTCATGGTAGATTCATAATTTCGAAAACTGAATCATTAGAATCACGAGAGGTTTAGTTTTGAAGTCATGATGCACAGCGACTGCGGGTGTGATATTCGATAGATTCGTTAGTTAATAGATACTCGACGGGACCTCGTAATTGACGTCTTTCTTCGAACGATGACCACAAAGTCGTCGCTTTTTCCTTTTAAGAAGAGGAGAAACTGGACCACGACTCAGCATGGATAATGAACACGTGCACATCCAAGTTGGGCCCCCATCCGGACGAGGTTTCGGGTCTCCCCAATTTGTCATCGTTGTGTGACCATTCTCTCTCGTTCCTTTCACATAGCGTGGAAGCAGAGAAGCACGAGGTTCTAGCCCGGGGGTGCCTGGCTGGATGTCTGGCTATCAGAGAGTGCGGACCACTTTAAACATAAGAAACCGTGCCCGGTCAGGTACAATAGTAAGTACGTGAAGTCAGATCTTCCACTTGCAGATCATCGGATTCGTACGTTTCCAACCGATGCTGATGCAAAGCAGACTGGTTAGAAGGCTTTACTGCAAAAAATTACATATTCTATTCGTTTTGTAGCTGCTCCCCTGGTGCCCACCCTGTGTCCTGCAATTTCGTATCGTTCAGGACACTTCTCAACGCAAGAGGCCTGCCGTTTGAACATTGCAATTCGCTCAAACATGATGGCTCTGTGGGAGAACTCACCACAGCATACGTGGGTCTCAATTGCTCCAACCCAATTTTCCGGTGTCAACTCCCAGGCTTGCACGCCGCACTGTACGACGCCGTGTTATGGTGCCGGCACAATTCTTGGTCCAGTCTGTTGCACTGGTCTGCATGCTTCCTCTCCTTGCCGACTGCCGTACGGGATCGATGGGTTGATTAGAATGATCAGTTTTGGTTCTGCGATAAGGTTCGGTGCTTGCATGAGTCATCAATCCAGTCGGTCTTTTCGTTATGACAAGTGTCTGTATATATGGGCCCGCGATCATCCTCGCTCTCATGTTAGAATGATCGATGCAAATTTATCAGAGTCCTGCTTTCATTAGATTTCTAAAATAAACTTAGTATGATCATTATCACATCATTAACATGATCTGATGTGGATAAAATATGAATGCTCTTATTACGATACCATCGAAATTTATCACTTTGGTGTTTGTAATTTTTTCCATTTGAAATAATTTTCACATAATCTAGAAATGAAAATCTTTTCGTTAATCCACCAAGCGGGCAAAATCTCGAATCGCCATGATCACCACAGTCAGAAGATCAATCGTATTCAATGTCTCTTGTAGGTGAACAAGCCTACAACTTTTTAGACCAAGAAAGGTTGATTTTGCACTGTCACGAGGGAATGAGCTTATTATTTTATAATATGATACGTCTTCCTCGTTGTGCAATTGCAACCGATGGACTCTGAAATGTTCAACGTCGACTAACGGATACCTTCCAGTGTAAGTGGGAAAAATGTAGCTCGCTTTGAAAACCGATGGCCTGAGTCTTCCATAAGGGAGCGCAATGATTGCAGTTGTCAACTTGTTACAGAACCTACACTAGGTAGGACATCTAACATGAATTTAATGAGATTCGGGATTTGGAAGCTTTCAACCTGCGGATAGCGTATGATGAGAGAGTGTTAGATAACGAAGAATAATCCGCTATGGGAAATATTATTACCAACTTGAACCAGGCCAAGTTGCAAGAATGTGCCATTATTTGTTGACTAACTTCTTTTGTTTGCGCTCTATGTTTCAGTCAACAGCCCATTGGTTATGGCCTCGTAATATGGCAGCATGTCGAGTTTGGTGGGAAAATATCTTCTGTTGGCCTGAGATTGCGATCGCTTTTCATATTGCCGAATAGGCGTCTCAATCAGCTGCCAAAGATATGAAAAGAAAAGTGACCATATTTAGGCGCCATATTCTTCCCATTGACAGCTCATTAAAAAGCTCATGCAGTACGGGCCCGTACAGTCAAGGAAATCATTTCATGGGACAGCGTTTGTCTAGTTGAGACTTTACGGCCAAAGAGCACGGGAAGTCCATACAGCTCGAAATCTAGAGAGGTAAATTTGCGTTGGAGACCTCTTAACTGCTGTCTTTTTTCAAAGTTGTAGTTGCAACGTTCCCTCACATTCTTAGTGACGAGTTGGTTTTGTTGATTGGGACTACGAGAGTAGTGTCATGTCTTTGAGCAATCCATCGGTCATTGATAAGAACGCCGGGGATGATATTTCGACTTGTAGAAATGAAGCATGTGTAACCTGCATTCGTGTGCCGAATGTCGGCGGAGCTTCCCACGGTATCATCATCATGAAAGTTCCCATAACAGAGGTTAAAAATGTCCCTCGGTAGGAACATTCATAAAATGGTAAGTCTCCATTGAATGTTTTTCGAGAAGAATTCTTCCTACAGTTATGCGTTGTTCAATTTTGATTCCATAACGTTACCTTCTCACTTCCCCACAGACGCTTTTGAATGAACCTTTTTGGCAATCTGGATGGCATTCAGACTTCACTTACCTTCATTAATGTTTTATCTTTACAGAAGTCTCCGATGATGTGAGAGGATGAAGCAGATCGGTCTTCTTAGGCAAACAGCAAATTCAGAAGGGTAGTAAATGCGAAGAATAGGCTGAGACCTCATAGGTGCAACTGATGGCTACTCGAGTACTGTAGGCATGGACGATGATGGTGCAGCCAGGATCTGAACCCCGTCTTGACGTTTTCAAGACGGGAAGACGTGAGCTTGAGCTCCTCAATCAGTTTTGATCCGCGATCAACTTTTAAACTACAGTAAACAACTGCTCGGTGTTTCGTATGCAAGTGGACATAATAAAATGTACTCTGCACTTGCCATGAAGAATTTATCTCCAAGCACAGTATATCTCGTACAGTTCGCAATACTAAGCACGAAGCTATACGCTGAAGAAAAAACTAATGATTGAAGGAGAAATAAATATCGCGCAGGTGGCTTGTAGACTCAATAATGACCATCTGTCCTTCACTTCCATGCGCATCTTTAGATTTGAAAAATTACCTTGCCGAAAAGTCGACTCCGGGAAGAACATGGTACAACAAAAATTATGTGGAGCTTTTCAAAAGTGCTACCATCGGCTGCGCTTTGAAGGGAACGGATCTGAAAAGCGTTGCAATCCCAGAGATGATGATATTATGGAGTGATTAGCCAGTGTACACTCGGAAGGACTAAAGACAATGCTTCGGCCAGGACCTTTTCGTTCGAGTCGGTACCAAGAAAATCTTCATCGATACACCCATGATTTCTTGCACTTCGGCCGTCAGGACTGTCAGTTGGGCCTCCTCCTTTCTCACATGGATTGTGAACGTAGACAGCGAGAGATGACCAGATTCTTCAAAATCTTCAGACACCTGCTTGAAGCTAGTTTCTTCTCTTGACAAGGGTCAAATTCCTTTCTCGTGTCTGCATTTGCAAGGAATTCATCAGTCAGCAACT